CTCCATGTGGACCTGCAGTCAACATGTTTCCCATTAACTTCCATTCAGCTGGTCTGGTATTAGGCTGTTCAGAGATGAGAGTCTTAAATCACAAGATTACATTCAACCTCAAGGACCAAATCAGCTGGGCAATTTGTTGTCCAGTGTGGTTATGTTCGCTGTCCAAGGCAATTTCAGCTGAAGGCTGCTGTGTGGAGCAGGAGTTTTATCTTACGATTCCACTTTTACTGTTATCTTACAATATGGGTTCATTAAACATTTTATGTTTATCATAGTGAGGTAATCTGATCTCTTGGCCTTGAAGTTCTTATAAGAATTGAGGCATCAAAGTTTTTCAGGCCTCTTTCCTAAAACCAAATTGTCTAATTTGGATCATCTACCTGGTAAAGAACAAAACATTGTTTCAAAAATTACACATCCATCAATATATTTGCACCATTTTATGTCTTCCAAGGTAAAAAATATATTGGATTAGGGAATTTAATGGTCAATATATCCTATAGACATTAATATACATATACCACAGTGAATTTTAAGTTTACCATAGGTCTGTAAAAAGAAGCTTAAAAGATGTGATTAAGGAAAACCTTTGGATCGAACCTAAACAGTAAAGAACAAACCAGCTCATTTAGACAGCAGGAAAACAGGCAATAAGAATCCAACCTCAAAACAGACAAAGGGGGAAAAAAACACTAGAAAACTACAAGGTGAGCCATGCGAAATCTTGCAGAGATTGAAACAATGTGAAATATTGTTAAAAGGAAAATAATAAAAACAACCAAAGCATAAAATCCAATGGCACAAAAATCCCTTCCATATATCATAGCAGTAGAATACATTAAGAATGATTGTTGTTCAGATGTAATTTATTACCTTAAGTCAGCTCACAGTAATGAAAATATCTGCTGCAGAAAAGAAACTCTCTGAGATATAACTTTTTTATTTTAGTTTGTATGATAATAAAAGCAAGGATCCAGAAATGCCATCAAGTTACATTTAGTTTGTGTGTTTAGCCTTGTGTTTGTTACATTGTGGGGACAATTTCCCAGGAATATTCAATATATTGGGTTGAGGGTTATGTTTTTGACTAAAGTTTAGTTTAGGTTTAGTGTTATGTATGGATTGACTTTGGTTAGGGTGTCTGTGAGGCTCTGGGTTAGGCATTCGAAATTCTCGCAAAATGAATTGAAGGCAATGGAAAGTTCCTGCAAGGAAAGCAGGTATTATATGTGTGTGGGGGGTGGAGGGGTTAGCATGGAGGAATGAAAAACGCATGGGGAATATTTATCTTACAGTAACACTGTAGCGACTACTGATGTAGATAATTTACCTCATGGAAAAATACCTTCAATAAAAAGCATTTGTCCCATAATGTTATTTTCTATGTTGTTTTTTTTTCATTTGTCTTTCCGAAAGGTTTGAGATCAGCAAACAAATATTTATTATAGAATAAGATAATAAGGAGTGCATTGGAAATACATCTCTGAAATAATGATTTCCTTAGTCACTGTCGCACCGAATTTTCCACTTTAGAAAATTTCAGGTTTTTCTTTGGTTTGTTGATCTTAATCATGTGTGTGAAAAATAAAAGGTCCTGGAATAATTTGCTAAACTTGCTCCATTTAAATTATCTAGTCCCATTGAAAGAATTTAAGGCCATGTTAAAATGTCATGTAATTCAAAAATGTAACTGCCCTATGTGACCTGTCTTTTCCTCTATGTGAGATTTTGTCTATGTTGTATTTCTGTTTGTATTTTAACTGGTGTGCCGTCTTGGCCAGGTCTCCCTCGAAAAAGTGATTTCAATCTCAAGGGACTTCCTGGTTAAATAAAGGTTAAATAAAAAAAAAAAATAAAAAAAAAAGAGAAAAATGGACACAAGCTTTAAGTGCAATCTTTGATGTCAATATAAAGAGTAAATTGTATATTTCTTGAAGAGAGCTAATAGGGGCAATATTTAATATATTATTATTAATGTTTCACTAAAATTATTACAAACAGCATTTAAAAATGTAGATTAGATAGATTCCTGTATGAAGAACACTGCATGGTAGTACAATATTATGACATGCATGTCTGCAGCAAAGAGGGTACAATGACATAACCTTCAAAATAAGCCCTCCAGACAGACATTCAAAGACTAACAGAGAAATAGAAAGTTTTCCTAGAATACACACTGCCGTCCTATGTGAGGTTCACTTTCCATTGCATCAGTTCTGTCAACATTTTCTTTGCTGCTTCATCTGTTGATCTGTCTCCTCATCAACCTTTGCTTGTATTGTTCTTGGTTGGATGGCGTACATCTCATTCAGACTCTAATAAGGCCTCTGGAAACACTTTGTTAGTCCCAACTGGCCTGTAATACTTAATTTAGCTACATTGAAAAATATTTTATTCTCTGACCCAATGCCTTATTGGGTTTGATTTCATTTTCTCATTTTATAGGCTGGAAAAACACCTCAGATTCATTAGCTTAGAAGGATCAGAGTAATGTATCCCTAAAAGCATGTTCTAATCAGCACTCTTTACATATGTCAGCCATATCCATCATGTCTCAGCTGAATAAGCATGGTATAGAAATCCCATAATTGTTTCTGAATGTGCCCGAAAGGTCCAAACATGCCACTCTGACCCTGTTAAAAGCTTGGTGTATTTCCAAATCATGTCTCTAGCTCCTTATGTACATCAACTCAGAGGTCCGAGGAGAAAGCAGCACCATGAAATGAATCTGCTCTGTGTGGTTCCCGGGTATTGGAAGTGACACCATATGAATGCTACTCGGGCTCCCTGGTGCTACGGATGAATACCTCTGAAACTTCAGGTGTTAAGGTTTCAGCCTGGGTTTCAAATGTGCAATACATCTGCCTTTACTCCCTTCCTCTTTACTGGGAAAATGATTTCTAAACAAGTTTCATTTTGTTTTGGATAATTTGAACTGACAGTCCTGATGATTTATTCACCAATCTGGTTCTTCAAAGCAAAACTTTCCGAAATTTTAGTTTTGGAGCCAAGAATTGTTTCTGTGTAGCAGGAAGCAGGACCTATTTATGTTCTTTCATTCTAAGTAGGGTTGAATGGTTTGACTTTCAGGTGCCTCACTGGATGAAAGATGATCTCAATGACTTCTATAACCATCAGACTGAGCAATACCAAGTGACTGCTCCTGGTTTAAAATAAAAGTTAAAATCATAGTTTTGAATTTTCAAAGAATAAACTACTTCAGAATTTAAGCACTTATCACACACACACTCTACTATAATGTGACACAAAACCATAGATTCAGCGATTCTAAAGTGGGCAAATTTGGCCCCAGTAGAACTAGGTTTTTCCTTCCTATGGACCTGCTGCTCCTGACACTTTTCTTTTTCTGCTTTAACCAGTTGTTGTTTATATGGCTTGGGCTCTTGATGAAAATAATTATTTTAGTTTTTAACATGCAAAAGAAATTGCAAGAAATTTGGTCAATCTTTCTTCCGGTTCAGAACAATGTGGCACTCTGTTTCACAAAATTCCAGTTAATTATGTCAAAATGAATGGCAGTAGTATGAAATAATTTGTTTAAGTTCACTTTTGCAAAGCTTCCCCATTATATATTATATCTCCAATAATTTGTTGAACAGTAGAAGAGAGAATATATTTAGATACTGAAGCTACTTAAAGGTACAGAGGACGATCTTTAATTTTTCCGGGTGGATCATCTCAATAAGTGGTCCTCCTAATTGTCATTTATTTTGGTGATATGTTTACGTAAGGCCGTCCTATGTGCTCATCCCATTAGCTATTGTTTCCTGCTCATGTGCACTTTCAGGCGTATATCTGTGGTGAGCTACGTTTTCAGACAGTTGTTGAAGCTCACCTCTCTTACTGCGGTTCTTTGAAAATGGATGAGGGTCATAACAGAAAAGTGTCTACAAAGTGTATGAGAAAAAAAAGAAAGGCCTCAGAAGAGGCAGATATATCCCAGAATGCTTTGCATGGAGAGCTGTCCTTGCAAAGCATTATGGGATTAAGGCTCGCTGTCGCCATAGGCTGCCGCTACCCGACAACAGCGTCTAATAACAAAGATGGCGCAGGAACCGCACAGTGGAGGAGGAGTTATGGGAACAACGGGGAGCAAAAAGCAGTGATCATCTGTCAGAATGCTAAGTTAACTGAGTTTGCATTAAAGTGCACTATATAGTCCCCACTCTATAAAGTGATTGAGGGATTTAGAGGTTAGGGCGGATGTTCCGACACGGTAAGCTTGTATGAGCTATGAGAACAACAACTCTTAAACAGAGCATGCAAAAAGAGAAATTGGCTTGTGCACACTCTCGCATTTTTTTTAAAGTGGAGAGGGAGGGTCTTTTAAAAAATTCAAGAAAATCCTCCACTATACCTTTAAACATCAGAAAATTAGCTTCAAATAGGAACAACATCAAAACTGAAGTGTGAATTGGATAAAAGACATGCAGCTCAATTATATTTATCTTATACTTTATTGAAAAATGGGCATATATAGCATCAAAATAAAAAAAATAATAATACAGCCTTATGGCTTACAATGTGTGAGAAAACAGGAAGAAATCATCTAATCCACTATAAAAGAGTAAGTCAGAAGCTGCCACATAAGAATCATTTTCACATTGTCTTGGGCTCCATAGGAAAGCTCATTTTGATTCATTAACTGATACACCAGTAGAAGCAAACCTTAAAAGAAAAGTGAATTTTATCTAATAAACTCATAAGATGTATTTTCTCCATATAAAAAAAAACCCTGACATTTTGGTTCCATTTTATATTTTCTTCAGTGACAGAAAAAGTAAAACTCAGCTTGAAATAGCTTCATGTCTATTACAACATCTAATTACATTTTTAAACAGAGACATTCTTGGTGAGAGTCTTGTTACTGTGATTCGTTTCCATAAATGCATCACTCCCCTGGGGTCAATGTAGGTAATCTTTCATGTTAAAAGAGAGAGATTAATGTTAAAAGGATACGAAATGTTCACTTTTTCCCCAATTTGAAGGTATTAGTGGATGGAAATACACAATGAAAAAAAAGGCATTTATTTATTTTTAGCCTTGTTGAAACACTCCTTTACTGAGCAATGCGTGGATTAATGGGTAGCCAGCTCTGTCACATTTAAGAGAGAGTAATTACAAGATTATTGCACCATTTGCTGCAAACTGGCAGGGGAAAGATAGGTAACAACTACACTGTGAAAAACAGTCAAATAAACACAAAACAAAACACACAAAGAAGAACATGAAATAATGATGATAACCACCTGGATGTGGATGAATAGTTCTGAGTGAAACTGGGAAAAGAGGCTTTGGGGTGCTGGCGGCGTCCAGATTGAAAGCACATGCTGGACGCTCTGATCTAAACTGAGGTTTGGTTCTGTTTTGGCTCAATGGCTTTGTTGACACGTCATACATCAACCAAAGTTAAACAATAAAAAAATATCAAATTGTTCTGTTGGTTTGACTCTAGAGCCGAGCTGAGGGGATTTTGTATTCAAAAGCAGTGACAAAATCCCTTTATGTTTTTAGTCATGTCAGACTTAACAGATTTTGCTCAGTTCTGGGTTGTTAAGGTCTCACTCTGATTGGTGAAGCAACAACATTAAGAGGTAAAAAAAATACACAGTTATTTTAAGCTGTCAAGCAGTGACAGTGTTGTATTTCTTTTGTAGGAACATAGAGGATTACAAAGTGTTTATGTGTGATAAAGAGGTTTAATACTGAAAACACAGCCTTCATTTAGTATTTCTTCCCTATTCTATACTTTATAAACAATTAGTAAGATTACACAAATAAAAATTATAGAAAAACACTTAAAGACATCTGATAATAAAGTGGCTCAAATATATATATATATATAAATGTAAAAAAAGTTGATAAAAAAACTTCCCTTTTACCACCCCAAACTTTCCCTTTGTGACATTCATTACCCATCTAATTTAGAAATTAATTAGCTTTTTATTCCTACCCAGGAATGGTGTTGGTATAAAACACTAAAATTATAAGCATACAAGGGCTCAAAAAATGTAAAAAACCTTAAAATAAATTCAACTTTTATTGCAGCAACAAAAATTCAACCTGAAATAATGTAAAAAATCCCAAATTTATTCTGAATAGGTTTTTTGTATTATGAAAGGATTTATCCTAGGATAAATTTTGATTGTTTATTTAACAAAAAATTGCTTTTTAAAATTATAATTCATTCTGATTTGTTGGATTGTTGGTTTATGCTAATGTTATAAAATATGTTTTTATTTTAGGACTTTTTACACATTTTTGATAAAGGTGGGGCAATACATGAGGACATCGCATATACAACTCTTTTCACATTAAAACTAAACCTAAGAATGATCCATTTATTTTGAAGTGGGCAGGTTTTCTATTGTTTAATCCTTTTTTCTCCCATCGCTACAATAAGAACAAAATATATTTTATTCTTAGTGTGTCCTCTCATCAATAAATCCTTAAGACACATGCTTAAATCCCAGGGGTTAGTAGCTATTTCCATTTTGCATGGGATAATAAAAAATAAAAAAAAACATGATATGCAGCCATGTAAATGCCTCTGATCTCTCAGTATAGCACCATGACACCAGGGTTTGTGTCCACTAGGTGTGCAGTGAGCTCAAAAGTGAGGCGGTGACTGGGTTTGGCCAGCTGTGTCCCGTGTTTCTCCCATTACCTCTCAGTCAAACATGGACGCCATGTTCACCTCTGATCAACAGAAAAGTTCTGCAGTCGTGTCCGGGAAAAAAACCACATTCCATGTAGAGAGAGGGAAAGATGGAGGCCAGAAAGGAAATGTATACGACATGGTGATGGAGAACATGCGGGTGGTTTTTATGACAGATGAAGAGGGAGGAGATGGAAGCTTGGGAATCTTTAGTGGAAGCGTGGTGTATTTAGTAGAAAATGAGTCATGTTGACTTGAATGAGTTCCCTTTGGTGTTTGCAAATTGAGCACTTCTTCATTTTAATAAAGCGCAACTGATATATCAGTGCACCAATGTCCTCTTGGAGCTTTTTTTAGTATTTGACTCAGTCAAGAGATCGTATAACTTAAGTTCATACAGTATAATAATAATAATAAGCTGTGAATGAGGTACAGGGTGTAGAAAACAAACCCTGAATAGAAACAAGCAAAGACACAAAGATCATTTAGTTTTTACACTTTCAGAAACGTTTCTGTTTTATGCATCTCCCAGAACTCAACTCTGAAGATACAATCCTGGTTTGCATCTTGTTGTTCCAACGTATCCTGGAATCTGGAGCTTCTGTGGATTTCTGAAGATGACTCCTCACCTAGTAGAGGGAATGACGGTGGTGCATTCAGTGCAGGTTTGGAGGTGAAGTGCTGCTTCTGCAAGCGGTCCACAGATATGGACAGGTAGGTAGCATACAGCGTGTTGGCATACATCCAAAGCAGTGTCCGGGAGGTGTAGAGGTCGACCTGGGGTTTCAGGTATGGAGGCAGTATATTCCATACTCCTTGTCTGTGGTCTAGATTTTCTTGGCATGGCGTTTTTTGGATCTTTTCACCCTTGAGAGAAAAACAGAGGGGTAAAAATAAGGTTAGGGTTTGTGTTTCTCTTATGGATCAGATGGGAAATGTGGGTTTAGATACCATGAATACCTAAACAGATCATAAAAATAATCAGTCTAGACTTATAAAGCACCCTAGTTTGATTTGGTAATGGTATTCTTTTGTGTTTATAATAAATACGAAAACATAAATTCTATGTTCAGATGATGTCAGACATCAGAAATATGCATTTCACAGAGAGCTGAATTTGGTAGAAGAACGTTAATATTTTACTCCAAGCCAAACATACTCTATAACATGCAGTTAGTGAAGATGTAAACGTGGAAATGTTAATGACAAAGGTAAATACTGAACATCTGCTTCTGCTGTTCTATTGTAAATGGATGAAAACTTTAACAGATTTATGCATAAGAAGAAGCATGAATGGTGTTTGAAGGTGAAGTCTATTTTAACTTAGTGGTAATTACTTCTCTGATTGTCCATTTGCACGGTGTAAACAGTTTCAGAGAGTAATTTTGAGCGAGAATGTGAAAAAGATGTCTTTGGTGATTTATTTCTGTCCTACAGAATATACTCTTGTGTGGGCAAAGCCACATATTTTATGTTTTCCTGAGTTTTCCTCTTACTTGTTAATGGCGTTCTTCAGGTACTGCTGCAGCCACTTGGTCTCAGGGTTGATGCAAACCTCCCTGTTGTTCTTCAGTTTAGCGCTGTGAAGAAAGAGATGGATTACATACCATGTGTCTGCAATTATTTACTGTGATTATTAACATTCGACATGCAGATGGACATTTACTTCTCAGGTTTTTGTGTTTACACAAAGAGATAGAGAGGAGCTTTTTGAGTTTGGTCCAGTCACATATAATATAAATCAGTCTCAAGGACGCTGCTAAGGGAAATTTATGCTTCAGAAGCCTTTTTTTTTATGCTAGGCATAAAGATTGGATCTACTAAAGACCATAAACAATAACCTGACTTCTACAAAAACAAAACAAAACACAAGACTTGTTATTAAATAGATTAAAGCAGCTCTTACGTTAGAGATAATGGTAATTAAACATATACACATAAAGGGCCTTACAAAGTTACCTTCACCCCTATTGATAAGTAAAACTTATGGTTTGTCAGTTGTGTTAAATTACAAGCCAAAGGTTTGACTAAAATCCAACAATTATTTTGAGTTGGACTATGTTTTCCAAAACCTATATTATAAAACAAAATCTGGAACACGGATCTTTTTAGATACCTAATACCCTATATAATAAAAATAAACATTTTACTGCTGAATATTTAACAGTTTTTAAGTTGATCCCAAAGAATGAAAGCTCATTTTCATTAGTTACTTATTTTATTATCCAAGCTTGTCCATATATACAGTTGGAGCAATATTTAGATCATTTAAAATATCTAAAACTGTGACCAAAAAAAACAAAGGGTTGATGGAGACTCAAAACCATGTTATTATTTCCCTCCAAATTAATAGTTAATCAGTGCCTGGATATAACTTCAAAGACTGAGATACAAATCAGGTTAAAAGTTGTTCCAAATTGTTGAAAGATTTAAAAAAAGGATATACTGCTGCTACTAGATTCCACCTTGCACTATTTCACACCAGCGAAGGGAAGCAGCTTTCTTTATCAGTTTATAAAAGACTAATATATCAAGGGTTCCAGTTCAGTTGAATAAATCAGAGGAATCAGGGGAGCTTTGGTGCTAAATTCTACATTGGATGTCATTATAATATGTCTCTTATGCTTTATGAACATTTTGATCTAAAGCACCTTGTCTGCAGCTTTTAAAGATTCTCAGCTCCTCCTGCAACACATTTAAACTCTGTGCATGATATATAACAGCCTGTTGCTGTATGTTTAGGACTAAAGGTGAAAAATCACAAGTTTCTGTTTCCAATCAGACGCAGAGGAAGAGGAAGACTCACATAGCTGAAGAGACTGAGCTTAACATGTAAAGATGTCTATGCTTCAGATCAAACCAGGTTATTATTTAGTGAGGAAACATCCTCTTGAAATTTAGATAAAAGGATTATGTTAGTTGTATGTTAGTGTCCTGATCATTGTTAGAATCCTAAATGTATGCATTTTTTTTTATCTATGTACCATAGTTATTGGTCATCCTGCAGTAGGTGAAATTGCCACATTAATTTAAGCTATTGACTGATTTAACTGCATAACATTTGGGCTTAATTAGTAACAATTCCTCCAGGCATCCAAATGTTTTTCACAGGTGTTCGTTTTACATTACAACAGGATATTCATGTTATTTTGTACAAAACAAAAGTCTTCTTGCAATGTTAGATCTCAGCTTTCCTCCACAGCTCCTGCTGGGATTTATAGTGGGAATCATTGTTGGCCAGATTTTAAACGTCCCATCTCTTCGTCTTTAAGCACATTTCCATGTTCACATGCCTGCCGCTTTCGCCATTGGCAGCCTGCAAAAAGACTTAGCTCTGGATTCAGCTTTTTAACAGGTTACATAAATACATCGCTGTAATGTAATCGCTGATCATTTTATCTCTTTGGTCCCCTTTGAGTCTAATGACAGAAGCAGTGAAGCATACTGATAACACCGTAACTCACAAAGTTTTGTCTGGAAAAATAAGCACGCTTTAGTTTTTAATGTGGCCGCATGAGGCTTTGATTAACTTAAAGTCAATTTAATGCTAAGATATACTTCAAAAATAGGTTTATGAACTTACAGTAAGTACTAAAAACTGATCCTTAAATCACCGCCTCATGAGGCATTTCTTTTGTAATCTATTACATTATTCTAATCATTAGAATATAAAAACTAATTTCCAACCTAAGACATTTAAAATATGTTTTATTATTGTAGCATAACTTCACGCTTAAACTTGTTTTGTGTGAGTGAGCCTCAGAGTTTGCTTTTTTTACTCCTCAGTAAATTCAAAGGGGATACAATATACTCTGGTCCGTTTCCAGCTTTTTAAGTTGTTTCAAACCTTCAATTTGTTTTAGATAACTGTTGTGAACCGATTAATGAGAATAACTACATATCACCGTTCAATGATTTATATCCTCTTTAGTTTTTTCTTATTTTGAAGAAAGGAAAATAGTGTCTACAATCTTCAAACTAACATTAAAAATTAACACATAAATCACAAAAATACCTGATATGTTGCTGTTGAATGTATTATCATCAAGTCCATTCATTGTTACCTTTGTGATTTTAATTTCTTTCTTTCTTTCTTTCTTTCTTTCTTTCTTTCTTTCTTTCTTTCTTTCTTTCTTTCTTTCTTTCTGTGCATGCA